AGCATCTGCCTTCGGCTCAGATCATGATCTTGGGGTCCTGGGATCAAGCCCCGAGGCAGGCTCCCTGCTCCGCGGGAAGTCTGCTTCTCCCTCTCCTCCTGCCCCTCCCCCACTTGTACATGCTTGCTCTCTCTCTCAAATAAATAAAAATCTTAGAAAAAAGTCAGTCACCTCCATCTAGTGTGATCAAGGAAAAATGAGAACACAAATCACCAATATCACATGTGAAGCAAGCGGTTATCATTACAAATTCTGCAGACATTAGAAGGAAAACAAAAAACAGACAAAAGTTTAAAGTTATAAGCACCTTTTAGCAAAACCGCTGAACAATCGCCTCGAGTCATATTCACAACTCTAATATTCATCTGTTCAGCACAAATAAAAGCTATGTGTCTAAAAGTACAATTTAATATAGACACAACCATACCCTCGACCGAAGTGAAGCAAGTTTCTCCCTCCGTCCCCACACATCGTCCTGAACAAGCTCCTAAGGCTGCATTATCAGGAACTTCTACAACTACCTGAATTTGTGCTGCCTTTACGAAGTAATTGTCAGGTTTCTACCTCTTCTAAAGTGCCTTTATCAATTTTTGCTTTTTAAAACTTTCTGGTAATGTGCTGCATTTCCAGCTTTCAAAATAAATGAAAAGGTTATTTTTCTCAAGCTATTCATATGAAAATTTCTAATGCATTTGGGACACTCAAAAACACTCAATGTCTAAACATTGAGAATATGACTAGAAGGTTCTCTGACTTATTTTAAAATATTGCTGGGGCTCCTCCCCCATTTAATAAAACTACATTAGGAATATAAAAATCTTAGGGGTGCCTGGGTGGCTCAGTCGTTAAGCATCTGCCTTCAGCTCGGGTCATGATCCCAGGGTGCTGGGATCGAGCCCCATGTCGGGTACTCTGCTCAGCAGAAGCCTGCTTCTCCCTCTCCCACTCCCCCTGCTTGTGTTCCCTTTCTCGCTGTGTCTCTGTCAAATAAATAAATAAAATCTTAAAAAAAAAAAAGGAATATAGAAATCTTAAAAATGAATGAGCTATGCAGATGTGACCCTTAAAGGTGATTTCTTGGGCGCCTGGGTGGCTCAGTCATTTAAGCATCTGCCTTCCGCTCCGGTCATGATTCCAGGGTCCTGGGATCGAGTCCTGCATCAGGCTCTCTGCTCAGCGGGGAGTCTGTTTCTCCCTCTCCCTCTTCTCCCCCTGCTCATTTTCTCTCTCTCTCTCTAATAAATAAATAAAATCTTAAAAAAAGAAAAAGAAAAAAGGTGATTTCTTACTCTGCTACTTTGAGGAAAATTCTCAAACAGTGAGACTAGGTAACGTTCTCTATGGTCATGTAGTATCTTACCTGAAGAGCTACAAGGGAACAATGCTGAATGTATGGCTGGTATAAGCTATCACCACCTGAACACCCCAAAGCCACAGGAACCCTTGCCTCACCTCTTGCAAACAAAAAATCAGCAATCAAACCAAATGGCACTCGGTAGAAGGGTTTTTTTTTAATTAAGTTTTTTATTTCAATTCAATTTAATTAACATAAACTGTATTATTAGTCTCAGAGAAGGGTTTTAATAGTATAACAAGGTTCCCTAGAAAAAGAGAACTTTCATATTCAAGATATGGAAAATGGCTTTTTAAAAAATCTTGATAAGACTTAGTCAAAAGAAAAAAAAAGTGTCAGGTAAGAAGCAACTTCTTAAATGTAAATCAAAAATTAGTCTGTAACAGCGCCAAAGAAGCCATTATAAGCTGCTATATAAATAGGCATTTAATGATTTTTCCAATGTTACATTATTGATCTAACAGGCCCTCTGTTTCCGCTGAAATGAGTAAGTAATTTGTTTAAGATAACATTAATAGGGTTTGCAGCACTTTAGATATGCTGGGCCTCTCTCATCTTTAGAATTACCATTATAAAAAACAGATTTTACACTGTCTTTCAATGAAACATCTGCAGAATTTTAGAAATCACGACAAAAGACCAGAGACATCAGATACATTCATCCCATTTAAGAAGGCATTTCTAAGTCCTAATACCTTGAATATCACTTACTCAGCTCAATAAACATTTAACATCCTCGCTAATGTCAGACGCTACTCAGAGCACTGAGAACACAACGGTGAACAAGAGGTCTAGTCCCTGCTCTCGGAGAGTTTACGGTCTACCAGGGAAGACAGTCCAACAGGGTGTGTCGGTAAAGGATGCCAGGCCAGCACAGAAAATGGGACCCAATCCCCTGCACAGGGAACGGGGGAAAGCAACCAGAGAAATGGATGTTTAAGCTGAGATGAGGAGGGAAGTGGGACACAGCCAAGCTCTGGAGGAAGACGATGGCAGAATCAAAGGTGGCTTGTGGCAAAGAGAAGTAGGCTCACAGGCTCACAGGCACAGCATGCGCAAATGGCCAGGTATTTATGTGAAGAGTTGTCTTTGGGGGGCTCCTCGGTGGCTCTGTCAGTTAAGCATCTGCCTTCGGCTCGGGTCATGATCCTGGGGTCCTGGGATCGAGCCCCAAGTCAGGCTTCCTGCTGAGCTTCTCCCTCTCCCTCTGCCCCTCCACCCCCCCTTACCCCCACCCCGCTGGTACACGCTCTCTCTCTCTCAAAACAAACAAACAAACACACAAAAGCATTGTCTTTTGTGTAAGAGAGGATAGTGGAAGCTTAGACTTTACCAGTAAAGCTGCATCTATGGAGAGACAACAGTCATCTACTTCATCTAGGAGGAAAAAGGTAAAAAGCTCACGATTCCATCTTGGCCTCTTCCCTGTGTTACCCACTCACACAAACACTGAGTTACTTCAGCCACGGTGCACTCCAGGCACTAGAGAAGGAGTCAGTGCGGAAGACGATGGACTCAATGTTGCCTTCGGGGAAGCAACACACGTGGGCAAAAAATCACACGGCAGGTGCTTCTGTGGCAATGTGATTCTGCAATGCAGCTCCCAGATGTCGGGTATTGAGGACTGAAATACTGAGCTGGAAAGCTACCGTGTGAGGCATCTTTCAGTCATAAGTGGGAGAGCAAATCACTGGACAGCAGATGTGGTTTAGCAGCAACGTGAAAAGAAGCACTGACACCCATATGCTTGTATTTGCAAGCAGACACCACCAGCTAGCGTCTTAGAGATTTCCAAGCACTTTTACACACTCTCATTTGTACTGTTCATAGCAAGGGAGACCAAGCAGATATTTTAGTAACTCTCCAGCATTTGTCAAGCCCTGCTTGTGGAGCGCCGAGCTCCCTGCTGGGCACTAAATGTCCATGATCTCATTTCACAAAGTACCCATCACCACCTCCACCTCTCAAAGGAGAAGCCTGTGGCTTAGAGAGTTTACATAACCTGCCCAAAGACACATGCCTGACAGGTGGTGGGGGCAAGGTTAGTCCGTGGGGCGGTCTGGCTTCGAAGCCCGTGCATCTCCTTCCATCCCACTGCAGAGTTTCAATGTCACCCAAGTGTGACCAGCAAGAAGGCTGAACAGTGACGCTGAGCAGAAGGGGTGCAACCGGACCTCCAGCCAGGAGTTCTAGTTCCGTGTCCTTGCGGCCACAGGACCTCTCGCTTTGCTCTCAGTCTCAGAGTCCCTTCCCCCTCCCTGAAGTTATTTTTAGCTCTCTAATAATCAGTCCCTTTGGGTGCCATCTCAATGGTCTTTCCAAGGATTGTGGGGGAGTGGATCAGAGAAATATGCAGATACCGAAACATTTAACAAGCGACCGCATTCACGCCCAGCATCCAACACCAATTCTTGGTGTCACGTGCTCCCAAAGTACATCTCACACTGCAATCCACTATTAAATAACTATCATAAAAGTTCAAAGCTAGGCCAAGCTTTATATATATATATGTATGTATAATACATACATATATATATATAATCCCGTGTAATCCTAACAATAACCCCGGTAAATCCGTACTATCATCCTCAGTTTACAGAGATAAGAAGAAGGTTCTCAAGGTTTAATAACCTGCCCAAGGTCACACAACTATAGGTAGAGTAGCAGCATGATTCCAGAGCCTAAGCTTCTCACTACAACATAGCCTATATTCCTGCAATGGCCACAGCATTGAGAAGAAACACCAAAATACTCTGATCTGAATGTGTATATTTGTGGAAGTTTTCCTGTAATAATTACTCATGTAGTTACATTCTCAGAAATATAGTTTTAGTATGTGGCACCTTTGGCTCAGTCAGTTAAGCATCTGCCTTTGGCTCAGGTCATGGTTTCAGAATCCTTAGACGGAGCGCAGTGTTGGGCTCCCTTCCCAGTGGGGAGTCTGCTTCTCCCTCTCCTTGTGCCCCTCCCTCTCATTCATGCTGCCTCGCTCTCTCTCAAATAAATGAATAAAATCTTTAAAAAAATTAATTAGGCATATCACTTTATAATGTTACCCCTCTTACATTATCAAGCACCAGAGAAACTTGAAATCTATTTGAATAAGTAGCTGAACAACACATATTTTATTCAATAGCTTTTCATCCTAAGGAAATAGAACATTTTGAGATGGTTAATAACAAAATTATTTAGGGCCCAGTAAGAGATGTGGTGCTCCATCTTTCTACCATCCTACTTTAAAAGCAAATAAAATATCTTTTGATTTAATGAAATGAATAGAGCACACAAACTTATAAATAAATGGAAAAAGGATGGAGACGAGCAAACAGTGGTGTTCCCCATTCCTCTCAATTTGCTACTTCTAATTCTCCAAGCAAATCTGCAACTCGTTTTAGAAAAAGTGCCATGGGAAGGGAACAGAAAGGAGGTAAGTGAAGCAATGTATTACATAGTATATCTAATGAATTAATAAATTGGTCTTTTTTTCTCACCTACACATGATACTCACTAATTATCTCCTTTATTTTAGAGACAGCTCTAAACAAACCAGGCAGCAATGCTTGTGAATCAGCTGAGTGAACCCACAGTATAAGGAGGGCGAGCTCCCACTTTATTAATATACAAAACAAATGTCCAAAGCACTTACCAATCTGCACTTGTTCGGGCTGGCTGAGAGAAACAAATGCTGATGTGTCATCAATCCAGGATATCTGAATGTTACCTGCAATGTTGAAGTAAAAGTAAAGAGAACATATGGCCAATTAGATCACTACCAGACTTCATTTGCATATCTGATATATTTCAGAATATGCGTTAATTTCAACAGAGATGAGGTGCTGGTTTAAAATGTGATCAAAATCTAGGCACCACAGAGAGCTAAAACTTAAATCTACCACAGAAGTTATTTCAGTGAACACTTCAAGAAAAGAGACAAGCCAGAAGGGAAAAAAAAGCAGCTTTAAAAATGTGCTTTAAAACCAAAAGAAAGATCCTTCTGGATTAAATCCTGCGGCACTTCATCTTTCAGCCCAATCTCATGCCAGAGCTGGCAATTTCTTTCCTATCAAGATCACAACAGGGGCACCTGCGTGGTGCAGTCAGTTAAGCGTCGACTCTTGGTTTCAAGACAGGTCCTGATCTCATGGGTCGTGAGACTGAGCCCCACGCCGAGCCCCCCATTGGGCTCTGCAGTCAGTGGAAGTCTGCTTGGACATTCTCTCCCTCTGCCCCTTCCCCTCTTTGCACTCTCTCTTCTCTCTCTCAAATAAATACATAAATCTTTAAAAAAAAAAAAAAGAAAAAGATCACCAAAAAAACAGAGACCACATAAATTCAAAAACACATCTTTCTAAATTTTCAGAGACACAAACTTTGGAAATTATGAATGGGAAACATAAAATAAATCAATGTAGCAAAAAGTACAAAAAATTCAACATCGGTGTCAAGGCCAGGTGAGGAAAACAGCAGAAGAGGAACAAAGGAAAAGAAGGCATCAGAGAGAGAAAACCAAGAGAGACTAATAGAGAAAAGCCACTGAGAGGGGCAGAAAGCAGTCTAGTGAAACAGAACGATTTTCACATGAAGAGACAGATCTTAAAGAAAGGCTAACTAGGGGCGCCTGGGTGGCTCAGTGGTTAAGCCTTTGGCTCAGGTCATAATCCCAGGGTCCTGGGATCGAGCCCCGCATCGGGCTCCCTGCTCAGCAGGAAGCCTGCTTCTCCCTCTCCCACTCCCCCTGCTTGTGTTCCCTCTCTTGCTGTGTCTCTCTCTGTCAAATAAATAAATAAAATCTTAAAAAAAAAAAAAGAAAGGCTAACTAGCTGCAGACACAACAGAACACAGGAGAGCACTAGGGGCAAGGAAGGAGAGGGGTGGCGGGGCAGAAAACCAAAGGGAAAGCAGAGGCCTAATTATTTGGCTACCACTCTTCTTGAAAAAACATGAGAAGACTAGAATTAGAAGTGGGTCAACATCACTGCAATTTAGTAATGAAAAAATGTTTTAATACCTACCAAAATTTTCAAAGGCTACGAATGCTTGCAAACTGCTCTGTCTCACTGTCATAGGACAATACCTCACTCCCTGCTGCACAGCAAGGTGCCATAATGACTTTCTCGATTACAAAAGTCACTCCTCCACCTTGTGTATTTTAGATAAATAATAATAGTGAACATGCCCTAAGTAGTTACTATGTGCCACATACTATTCTAAATGCCTTCCATGAATCAGCTCATTTAATCCTCATGAAATGCTTATGTAGTAAGGGGTATCACCATCATCACTGTCATCGTCTCTGATGAGGACACAAAGATAGAGAGAGGCTACTTGTCCGATATCACACAATTGATTCTTTTTAATTAAAATGAAAACAAAATTCTACTCAGAGCCTTCTACTTAATTTAGCCAATTAAAGGGTGACTACATAGGGGTAAGAACTTAATAATACAAGATGAGAAAAAACAGCAACAACATCAAAAGCTCTCAAAAGAAATGAGCTGTGAAATTCAACTGCATTTCTAGATCTGTATTTAAATTAAAAAGTAGGACTAGAATTTCAGAAGTTGTTGAGACCGTCTGCAAAGACTAGGATAACTTTCCTGAAACATACCTGCTTTCATTTACTTTTCTAAAAATTAAGTCTGTAAAGTGTTTTGCTTATAAAAGCTAATAAATAGATGCTTATTTTAGAAAACACAGAAAAGCTGGGGCACCTGGGTGGCTCCGTTGGTTAAGTTCTTGATTTCGGCTCAGGTCATGATCTCAAGGTCATGAGATCAAGCCCCTTGTCGGGCTCTGTGCTAGACATGGAGTCTCCTTAATATTCTCTCCCTCTCCCTCTGCCCCTCCCCTCTTCTTACTCTATCTCCCTGTCTCTCTCTCTCTCTCTCCCTCCCTCCCTCCCTAAAAAATAAAAATACAAAATACAAAAAAGCATAAGGAAGAAAAAAAAACCTATCTAAAACAATCAGTGATAATAGCATGAGGCCTCCTTTCAGTCTGATGTCTATACAAAGTATTAAAAAAATATTCGTTATATAGGAAGTCTACTTTGTATCTGCTTTTTACACTAAATGTTAAAACATAAACACTTTACCCTCTTTTCATAAACTCTTCAAATATTTTTTTAAATGGCTACATACTACCCTGTTTTGGCGGTATATAAACATTTACTAAACAGTCTAATTACTGGCCATTTAGGTTTGTGCTGTCTTTACTTTATCCAAGAATCTCCAAAGAGAACAGCTTGAATATTTGTTAAAATAAACAGGCACTGCTAAGACTTACAGTCAGAAAGGTCTTTACAAACCCTAATCAGAAGACGGTTCATTTCAACCTATCACCTGACCTGATAAAAAGGAATTAGAAGAACTGCCCTACCGCACACATAACTCATCTCTTGGCCCTCTCGAACATCTGCGTTCGTCTGCTTGGACTATTCAATGTCAAGCAGTGACCGCCTGCCCTTATGAAACGGACCTTCTCTCTGAATTTAATCTTAAAAATGATTTATTCTCAGCCTAGGTTTATTTTCCATGGTCAGCAGTAAGGGCAGTCATAGCAATAGTATTCTGCTTTCCGTGGATTAATAATAGCACTCTATTGTGGGGTGCTATTAAAAGTGCCTCAGATCGTGTCAGTACAAAGATACCAATATACCAAACCCTGAAAAATTCCACGAGTGAGACTAAACCCTTGCATAGTAATATTCTTTCATATCCAAGTTGAGGCTGTCATATATACCTACAGCCACCTGGACAGACCAAAAACATAGCAAAATTCTAAAACTACATATGGACTTATGATTTACTTACCAAAGGCACTAAAAAGCTGGTAAAGGTCGCTGGTTTTCCACTCTTTGGGGAAAGTCACATGGAGAACATGATCACGTTTCGGTTGCACTATGGGACAAATTTTTGATAAGAGGTTGACAGCTGAAAAGTGAACGATACACCAGTGGTTCTTCAATGAAACTAATCCCCAGCTAACCTGAGAAATTGCTGGGAATGACTCATGATTACCAAACAACTCCTAAACGTATTTTTAGGAATGGCAGGACTCTGCCATCTTAGCCTCAACTTGGGCTCTGATACTTCCTAGAACCCACAATGGTTTGAACCCTGATAACTCTATACAGACCGTCTTTGCTCATGAAGTTCCGGTGAAAATTATTTCAAGGGAATTAAAAAAAAAAAAAAAAAGACTGCTTTGTTCAAGACATTTCACTAAGTGTTTTTCTCCTATTAATCTAGTTGTCCGCATGTTTATTTATGCAACATCCAAATCCAATGGACTGAGGTTAAGGAGAGGCAGTCCTGAGTCAGTCTCGTGTTCTAATCTCAGACCCGCCACTTAACTGTGCACCTCTGAGCAAAAGACCAAACTGCTCTAGCCACTCGTGGCTATAAATTGGGAATGATGGTATTTAGCTTGCAGAACTGTTGCGAGAATAGTGCATCAAAATAGAAGTCTAATCTGGAGTGCAACACATGTACTCCGCATATCACTGCAATGACTATTATCATCAGGTACAGATCACCCATTTCTACACCCCTGTGGCATGGATTTTAAGGCAAATAAACCAAGGCTAGAAAGAGAGCAATGGAAAGGAAGAATGGAACAGCGAGGAGGAGAAAATAGAGAATAATCCAAAGCAGCAGCAACCACCTCCCAAATAGACGGGCCTTCCAAGGTTTTCAAAGAGGAAAAAAAAAAAAAAACCTCTACCCAACTCAAGTATATACATACTCAAATGACTGGAAAACAGAGAACTTATGGTTACTGACATAGCTAGCCATCTCAAAATTTATTGTGTATTTATAGGAAATTAGGAATTTAGAGCTCTGAGTGAAAACGAAATAATGAAGAGAAGATATATATTCTTTTAAAATTCAACTCATGCATAAACTGGAAAATGTAAGTACAGAGATGAGTTAATCAAGACCCAAGGGCACCATTAACTTAAGCATACTATTCATATCAACCACAAAATCACTGCCTGTTTTTAAGTGAATGAAGCTCTTTCTTCAGTAATACTTTTCCTGTTATCCCTTCCAGACCACACACTTCAATGTGCAGATGCAATGAGAAAATAAAAATTCACTTACAGTCTGGTCCTTCCAAGTTTAGATAGGGGATATCCATGACTCTCATAAGAAATAACCTACAAAAAGAAAAGAAAAACAGGTAATGGGCTAACTTCTATGAAAAACCTGATACAGGCATCTATAAAATTCTTTACTAGATGCTTCTTATTTATATCATTCCATTTCTGAAACCATTTTAAAAAGCTCTTACGATTTGTCTCAAAGATTTTTTTTCTCGAGGACTAAATATTTATCATAAATAGAAAAAAATCAATCTTTGGTATCCCCAAAACCTACAAAAGTTCCTGGCACTCAACAGCTACTCAACAAATTATTAGCTAAATGAATGAAATTAGTAATCAAAGAGTCAAAACAAAGTCCTCTGCAGGTCTGCTCATTGGTCAAGGGAGACTGAGAGAAATCAAACGTTACAGAATGCTAACTACCTTACAGACTTCTGAACTTTTCCTACAAATTATAAAGGGAACCCCTATGATTGGTGTTTTGTGAGCTGAGAATCACAGCACAGATATCTTTTTTTTTTTTTTACTGAAATGGAAAGTCACTGGATAAATACCAATCTTACCGGGTGAATTACACAGTCTGAAATAGGATACCATCTGAGAAGCTCACGCCATTACTGTTGTTTCAAACATTAAAGCACAAAGCAAAACAACACTTGGTAAAGAAAGCTATTCACTGATATAAAACATTTAGCAGTCATTTTATGTATACCTTCCAAAGGAAAGGATACAAAGGCTCTTAAAAAGGAGCGCTTGTAAATTACAACTCTCTGTAATGCCATTCAATTTTTTTTTTAATTTGCAAGATTATGGACAAAATATCAGGCATTCTGTTGTGTGCAAGATGATTTTAATAAGTTTTACTTAGATGACAATACATAGTGCGTTTCTGGTAGAGACTGCATTATACAGAAAATTAAAACAGCAATCCAAGAGCCCAACAAGCAATTAGTTTGGCTTCACTGACCCACAATTAAGGCACATTATTACCAGGCATTCAAAAGCTAAGCAGGGCATGATCTAGTTTACAAATGGAACCATCAGTGTAAAGAACACTGTTCGGTTAATGCCAAAAAAAACGAAGTCATGGTACTCTGTGGTTTAAGAACTTGTTGCCTGGCCTACAATTTAATCAACCAAATCCTATGGCTAAGAAACCTTTTTTTTTTTTTTTTTCCTTCATGAGAGACAGAGAGAGAGAGAGAGGCAGAGGGAGAAGCAGGCTCCCAAGGAGCAGGGAGCCCGATGTGGGACTCGATCCCAGGACTCTGGGATCATGACCTGAGCCGAAGGCAGACGGTTAACCATCTGAGCCACCCAGGCGCCCGAAACCAATTTTATTTTTAGTTCACTAACTTAGGCTCAAGCATAATGTTCTGGTTCTAGGATCCATTTCACCCAATTAAATCAATAATACTGGTAATGCTGGAAGACACACTCAGACATACAGAGCAGCCGGCACAAAGGAGTTTCTCTGCGATGGCAGCTATGACTACTATTGCCAACCAGAACCTATGAGGTTATTCCTGGGTGAAAAGGCTCTGTATTTTTACGCTTCATAAAATTTCCAATTTTCCATTTAGTAAATTTAGAGATAGTCCCCAAATTCTAAAAGCCAAATAAATTTAAAAAACACCCTTAATTTAAAAGTTAATGGAACATATCAAGCACCATAAAAATAATTTAAAATTTTTACCCTAATTTCAACAGAGGAATAAAAGCTGAATCGACAGGGCGCCTGGGTGGCTCAGTCGGTTAAGCGACTGCCTTCAGCTCAGGTCATGATCCTGGAGTCCCGGGATCGGGTCCCGCATCGGGCTCCCTGCTCAGCAGGGAGCCTACTTCTCCCTCTAACCCTCCCCTCTCTCATGTATCTCTCTCTCTCTCTCATTCTCACTCTCTCAAAATAAATAAATCTTTAAAAAAAAAAGCTGAATCGACAATTTGTTCTCTGATATTTCATCTGAATTTTACCCTAAAATAAGTAAAAATCTGTTCTTAACTAAAAGACTCAATAGATTTTTTTTTTACAGTTAATTCCACACTATCTTGTTTGCTTGTTTATTGCTATACTGTCAAATACCTCCAAAATCAAAATCGACCTTAAGGTTCAATAAGATGGGGGGGTGGTCAGTAAATTATAGTTCATCATTTCAAAAGAGTATTAAACAATCCAAGTAACTATGAAAACTTCAAAACATTTTAGGATTTTTTTTCTGCTTCTGTAAAAGTGACATTGGAATCTTTTTTTTTTTAAGTTTTTATTTAAATTCCAGTTAGGGGCGCCTGGGTGGCTCAGTCGGTTAAGCGGCTGCCTTCAGCTCAGGTCACAATCCCAGGGTCCTGGGATCAAGCCCCGCATTGGGCTCCTTGCTCAGCGGAGAGCCTGCTTCTCCCTCTCCCTCTGCCTGCTGCTCCCCTGCTTGTGCTCTCTTCTCTCTCTGTGTCAAATAAATAAAATCTTTAAAAAAATTAAAATAAAATAAAATAAATTCCAGTTAGTTAATGTTCAGTGTTATATCAGTTTCAGGTGTACAATATAGTGATTCAGGGCTTCCATCCATCACCCAGTGCTCATCACAAGTGCACCCCTTAATCCCCATCACATATTTCAACCATCCGCCCCCTATGCCCACCCCCACTCTGGTGACCATCAGTTTGTTGTCTAGAGTTAAGACTGTGTTTCTTAGCTTGCCTCTTTTTCTTCCCTAAGCTCATTTGTTTGTTTCTTAAATTCCACGTTTGGGTGAAATCATATGGTATTTGTCTTTCTCTAACTGACTCCACTTAGCATAATACTCTCTAGCTCCATCGTGGGAATGCAAACTGGTGCAGCCACTCTGAAAAACAGTATGGAGGTTCCTCAAAAAGTTAAAAATAGAACTTCCCTATGACCCAGAAACTGTGCTTCTAGGTATTTACCCAAAAAATACAGAAATTCTAATTCAAAGGGATACATGCACCCCGATGTTTACAGCAGCATTATCTACAATAGCCAAACTATGGAGAGAGCCCAAATGTCCATCAGCGAACGGATAAAGAAGATGTGGTATATATACACAATGGAATACTACTCAGCCATAAAAAAGAATGAAATCTTGCCATTTGCAACTGGATGGAGCTAGAGTGCATTATGCTAAGCGAAACAAACCAGTGAGAGAAAGACAAAAACCGTTAAGATTTAACTTATATGTGGAATTTAAGAAACAAAACAAGCAAGCAAAGGAAAATAAGAGAGAGAGAGACACAAACCAAGAAACAGACGCTTAACTATAGAGAACAAACTGATGGTCACCAGAGGGGAGGGGAGGTGGGAAGGACGGGGGAACAGGTGATGGGGATTAAGGAGCGCACTTGTGATGAGCACCAGGTGAGACATACAAGAGGTGTATCACTATACTATACACCCGAAACTAATATTACACTATATGTTAACTGGAATTTAAATAAAAACTTTCTTTAAGGTCCCAAATTTTATACTATGATTACAGCTTTGTAAAATATTTATCATTAAACTAAGAAATAAAAATACCCCTCCACCCCCACTAAAAAAAAAAAAAAAAAAAAAAAAGCCAAAGATTTTGGGAAACTGAGCTTCGTTTTTTAAAATTCCTTTTACTATTATTTTTGAAACTCAAAAAAGAAAATAGGGGCACCTGGGTGGCTCAATTGGTTGAGTGTCCAACTCTTGGTTCCGGCTCAGGTCGTGATGTCAGGGAAGTGAGTTCGAGCCCCGAGTCAGGTTCTGCACTGAGCACAGAGTCTGCTTGAGATTCTCTCTCTGCTTCTGCCCCTCACCCCGCTCATGCTTGCTCTCTCTTTCTCTCTCAAATAAACAAAATCTTTTTTAAAAAAAGAAAGAAAGAAAAAAAAGGCCACCAGAACCGAGAGGCCAAGGGGAAATAGAGACTCTTTTAGAGACACGTGACTAAAAATGCCAGTTAAATCAATCTCGTGTATCCTGTGCACTATCTTACCTGTCACAGGGAGAGGAATATAAGGTAAAATCACATGTCTGAGTCTGCAATTGCTTGATTTCTTTTTTTTAAATACTGTTTTATTCCTAAAATCATGGGACCTAAGAAACTGAGAAAACCTATTATCCTATAAACAGCAAAAAAATTACACTTTTAAAAGGAGACCTCCCCAACTGATCTCACCACGTAAGTGTCTCAAAACTTTTTTTGAAGGGCATCTTTTGTCACCCAACAGACAATTTGTTCTCTGATATTTCATTTGAATTTCACCCCTGACTAAAATAAGTAAAAATCTGTTCTTAGCTAAAAGACTCAATAGATTTTTTTTTTTTACAGTTAGTTAATTCCACACTATCTTGTTTGCCTGCTCAACACTTTCACTAAATAGAAACCCCTTTCAAATAAATTATTAATAGCACTTCTTACTCTTCTCCAATGCCTCCATGTCTGGGCTTTAGAGAAAAATGAATAGCCCCCAGGCCTGGAGGAACACGCAAACCAACTCTGTGTGTGCCTTGGCAGCCTGCACCTCTGGAGAAAGCCCTGCAATTGGGAAACCGACCCTAAAACTGGAGCTAAGCGTCGCTGGAACTGAACCAAAGTCAACTCCCCAGTGGCCTCCCACCCCCGTATGCCAGGCTGTCTGCAAGCCGCAGCTCTGGTCACATCTCTGCCCTTCTGAAGTAAAATTACAACATTTCGTTATATGCATGCCTCCTACAAACTGGCTGTCAAAAGGCTGACACCTCCCTGAGATGATCTGATGAAAGACTTCACATATGGATCATCTGCACAACAGTGTTCATTCTCACACAGGAAGGAATGCACTGGGCAAGCAGCAATCCTGATAAACACACGCAAGGGTGCTCCTTCCCTGAGAATTGTACTGACGCATGCTCTTGCAGAGGCCTTCCTCTGCAGATATCAAAGACACTCGGACCAACACTTGCACAAAACGGTATTTCTATTTTAGTAAAGATTCAAGATGGCTGCAATTCAGTGAAGATGTGACAGGGTGGGAGTCTTGCCACATTCCCACAAGCCTCTTTGAAGAAGTATTATTTCAGCACTTATTGG